GATACTTTTAAGATGAAATTTCGTTTCCGCGAAAAATAGCTTACACTACGTGCCAATTATTACTCAATAAAATAGCTCCAATCGAAACAAACTTATTTATTGACTAGATATTGACAAAAGTGTGCTTTCACGTTGTGCTTTGGTCGATTTATGGGGTTTTACGCTGATATGCATGCTATCTTTCAAGGGGAGATTTTCGCATATTTCAAGGAATCGTTTAGCAGATGTGGAAGGAAGATTTTGATTTAGTGTTACAAGCTACATTCAATAGTATGCCCTTTACTTCGGAAGCCTATATACAGTCACAAAAATCCCCTTCTCTTGTCAATCCCAGATGCTCACACCCAATCATGAAGTTTTCTATTTTTCTATTTTCTTTCTGCTTTTATTTACTATAATACCTGCAAAGGATATGGAAATAGTATAAAGTTACGTTGCTGCTAATGTCATTAGAATAGAAAACAAGAAAAGTTTCAGACTTCACTCCTATCTCAATAAAAGCTATCTGATTGGCCGATCATTACCGTAATTTGCACCTCCTTATATACTTCGTACACTAAAAACTCTTATCATGCCTCATCTACTAAACGGCTGGCTCTCTATTTTTTCCCTATCGATTCCCTTTATGTTCTATTTTCCAGCACTTAATTTGAAAAGTTTCTATGACCGATACTATGACTGACTGATAAGGATTGTTACTTACGTATGGAAGGGGCCACGGTGGATATGCTTGACTGTCGTGTTTGAAATGGCTGCGCAGATTCTGTGGAGACCTGCAAAACACGCTAAGTTCTGAGAAATTTACAATACGAAGGGAAAAATATGGCGAAAACTTCAGTGCAAGTTACAAATTAAACTACTCATTATGGAATTATACGAAGAGAAAAAGATTATTGTTTAAAAATACTGAGATAAGCAATTACTAATGACAAAACAATAAACATATAAATGCTATGCACAAAACCAGATAACTCTAATTTTTGCCCTAGGTAAGTTTCCCAAAATTTAGTACGCAATTACACCACGTGCATGTTGCAATAAAACGACATTAATAATCATCTGTACGTGTAGAAATTTTATGATATTTTCATATTAAAAAAACTCGATTGTCAACAAAAAAAGGTTGAAAATACATATGTAACAGAAAAAGAAATAATATAAAGGGTTACCTTCACAATTGTTTGTTCCTCCTTAGTCTTTTGATGTTCCTGCTCCTCTTGCTCGTCCTCACTGTCGCTATCGTGAGTTCCAAGACGTGAAGCAAGTAAGTTGTTTGCTATCCTAAATTAAGATTTTATAAATTTATCCTGAAAGAACGCAAGAGCAGTTTTACCTTTCAGCCATCCAATTTTTCGCCTCAGCAAGGAATCCCGTCTCCTTGGTGACTTTTTTCATTGGTAAGGCCATAAGATTATCTAAATTAGCAGCTAAAGGTTGAGGTTTGTAACGTGGCTGGGGAATTCATACTGGATAGGAAACACTTTATTTCGAAGCCCAACGTTTTGGCCTTCTTCAGAGACCTGAAAGTGATTCATTCACCTTTTATCACATTCCAACCCGCCAAAACCTCCCAACAATGCTTAGTGCAAGCACAGTTGAAAAATGATGTTGTCCTTGTGAACATTCTTAGGAATAGTATCAAGAAACTAGTTCGCAATAGATC